ACAGCACAGCACAGCACAGCACAGCACAGCACAGCACAGCACAGCACAGCACAGAGGAAAAGAAAAGGGAAGGGGAGTAGAGGTACAACGAGATGTCAATGGGGCAAGTTCCATCTTTTCATTATTTGTAACACTTTTTGACAATTTATTTGTCTTTCCTAAAGATTAATTTTGGAATAATGTTGTTCATTATTCGAATGCTAATACGCAAGATGAGGGATGAAAACTTCTCCGAAGCAAGAATCGTATGGTGAGGATTACTATCCAATGACTATCCCTCCTCCCACGTGACATTAACCCTTCGAGACTTGAAACACAATCCTCTTCAGACTCCTTTACCTTGGGCAAAATGTTTACCCATTTTAGATCTAGACCACGTGTTATTCTCTAGAAAATAAAAATCTCTGTTTGATTTGTATCCATATTCATGTACGTATCTCCTCAAGAACAACTGTTAAACAAAGAAATGATACTGTAGGGAATGACACGTGGTTCGAAATAAAGAGGTTTAATGAAGCAATCATATTATGCCAGAAACATCGTACTTGAATAGCGCAGCGCAGCAGTGACGTCATAAAAACGAAGACAAAGGCGAAATTCGGACAAACAAACTTACAAGTTTACTTTCAGCAGATAATTTTCACAGCCGATCGCAGTTGATCTTAGTTTGCATGGGTTATTATTGTAACTTTAAGTAAAAATAATAAAATCGGTTCGTATAATCCTCGTAGCGGTTAAACAGAATGCAATGTTTGTCCGAATCTTTAAGCTATTTTTCGAATCAGCGCGCTGCGCCATTGAAAACGAGGTTTTTTTGCTGGAGTCAAACTAAAGTGGAAGTGAAACATAATATCAAAAAGGCCATTATGTTTCAGAATCAGTTATAATTGATTTTACCATTTCCAGGAAGGCGGCCAAAGGTGCACTGGTGCTGATGCCTTTGATGGGATTCATCTATCTCGTCATAATCTTCACACCCGTCGATGATTCAGGATTCGATATTTACGCCCATGTGTTCTACCCATTGCAGGTTTGAATGCTTTCCATGTAGCTCTCCCATGTTGAAATGATTCTTTATGTCGAAACATTCTGTTTGTTTATTTAGGCTAAAGTTTAACTAACGTCCGGGTCTTGCATCGCGACGCACTAGTTTGCGAAAGAGAAGACAGGAGACATTGGTTTTGGACTAATTTTGGCCCCGCTAGTGGCAAGTTTAATAATCAATAAAGATATATAATCGTACAAAATACCAAAACCCAAAGAAGCTATGTCTTCGGCAAAGGAGGGCCGAGATTATACACGTCACACCTACATTGACTAAATACAATAATCCAACAGGTAGGCCGCAGGGGTGGTGGTGGGAAAAGTTTTAAAGTGATCTTGCTCGACTGCGAGAATAATAGGAAAGAGGCCGAGTGGTACTTAGACGCGCCTTAAGTACTGCTACCTAACAGTATTCAGCATCGTATTGGCAGATCTGGAATATGCGGATTCATCTAGTTGGATTACCGGATCTAACGACAATATAATGTTTCGACACTGGAAGCAATATCCAATACTTTCTTCCGTTATTTCCTTTCCCCAGGGTATAGTGGTGTGTCTGTTTTACGTGATGTTCAACCGAGAAGTACAAARACAGATGATTCGCCAATGGAAGAAGTGGTCAGCGGACAAATGTCTGGGAAAAGTAAGTCAGTTTCTGCACATGCTCGCCTCATTTTGGATATAAAGCTTAACAGGTTTTGCAAACCGTCTGATAAGGCTACCGATAAATCGACTTTAGAAGAATTTAGAAGTTGAATTTTGTGGAAGGAGGAAAAACCGGAGAACCCGGAGGAAAAGCCCACGTGAGAAAAGCAACAAACAACTCTACTCACATACTACACAGGAGAGAACCAACAAACAACTCTACTCACATACTACACAGGAGAGAACCAACAAACAACTCTACTCACGTACGACACAGGAGAGAACCAACAAACAACTAAACTCACATACTACACAGGAGAGAATCAACTAACAACTCTACTCACATACTACACAGGAGAGAACCAACAAACAACTCTACTCACATACTACACTGGAGAGAACCAACAAAAAACTCTACTCACATACTACACAGGAGAGAACCAACAAACAACTCTACTCACATACAACACAGGGTCCGCGGGAATCGAAACCCCGGGTCGCATTGGAGAGAGGCGGCGGATTAGTAGCGCAAATCACCCATGATTTCTCCCTACCTCTCTACCTCCCTACCTCTGTACTTCCCTGCCTCCCTACCTCTTTACCTTCCTACCTCCCTACCTCTGTACTTCCCTGCCTCCCTACCTCTTTACCTTCCTACCTCCCTACCTCTGTACTTCCCTGCCTCCCTACCTCTTTACCTTCCTACCTCCCTACCTCTGTACTTCCCTACCTACATACCTCCCTACCTCTCTATGTCCATACCTCCCCACCTCCCTTCATCTTTACGTCCCTAGCTCCATACCTCCATACCCTGCTGCCGTTGCAGAGTTGAGATGAACAACGGACGTCAATCTCGTGGCTTGACGCATGAAGAGTAGCATAATGTGAGTAATAACCTCATTTATATGTCCTTTTTTATTAATTCTAATGTCAATCAGAGTCGACGAAATGTCCAAGTTTATGCTGGTCGTCACGTACAGGAAATGGAAAGTCCAGCTGCTTTTCTTTCACCATCTCGTGGTAAGCGATAGCAATCTTGGAATGTTTAGGACTTTCTATTGTACACTGAAAAATATGCATATATTTTCAACACAATCCGATCGAGGTATGAATACCACAGATTCGTTCTCTTAGGTCATTTTGTTAGGTCTTTCCCTTGAAACCCTAAAACACTACCTAAATTCAAATTCCATCTGTGAGTCAGTTTTGGTAGGGTAACTAGAATTACACAGAGTAATTTTCATCCAGGCCCTTTCTAAGTCGAATTAGAATATGATTTTTGCGGAGGGAGGAAATCGTAGAACCCGGAGAAAATCCCTCGAAGCACAGGAGAGAACCAACAAACAACTCTACTCACATACAACGAGTCCGATAATCGAACCCAGGTCGCAACCGCGAGAGGCAAGCGCTCTCATCTCCACACCACCCATACTTCCCTTTCTTGGTTTTAGCATTTCGTAAAAGTCCATTTATCAGGCAAGATTGAAAACAAATCTCCATTTTTTAAACAATAGCACAAAGACGTTTTCGACTAATTTTCTTACAGGTTACGAGCATGCGCAGACGTTTTTTTACTTGTGTTGCTAGCAGTGCCCAATTCTGAAGTCGTTCCGTCGCCGGATACAAAATAATCTGATCCAACATTTTGCTTTTCTTGTTCATTTAAGAATGGAATCCCTTCTTCGAATACCATGCAAGACCAGTAAAACTACCCATGAAACTTCACGAAGATGGTGGCAAAATCAATAGTCGACAGGGGTTGCGCAATGCCGTATCTGTTATGAGTCATGACTCGTACTTGACGGGTGTCAGGGGTGAGTAAGAGATTATCGTGTACAGAGGTTGTGCAGTGCCGTATCTGTTATGAGTCATGACTCGTACTTGACCAGTGTCAGGGGTGAGTAAGAGATTATCGTGTACAGAGATTGTGCAGTGCCGTATCTGTTGAGTCATGACTCGTACTTGACCAGTGTCAG